ATCTTCTTTTTGCAGGTTAAGATTATAAATGCACAGAAATTAAAGTTCTCTGTGTGTTTGCTGCCATTTTTCTTGTGCAGGTCAAGACGAAGAAGTTGAGGAATGCTACACAGAATTCAAAGTTCGCCGCAACACAGTTTTCAAGGCCTTAGTTGGACAAGAACTCAGGATTCACTGCAAAGTTGTTTTCTGCAGCAGCTCAGCACCAACAGTCTCCTGGTTTAAAGTTGTGAATGCTGTTCAGGTCCCTGTTAATGTCAGCAGTAGAGGTCACATTAAAACAATGTGGGAACTGTCAACGAAGCAGGAAGGGATGTCGTTTTTGATCTTCCAGAACATTCTCAGAAGCGACTCAGGTCTTTATCGGTGTAGCGATGGAGACAGTGTGAGTCACAGCATCAGTGTTGTCGTCGATGGTGAGTGTGATTTTTTAAGTAATTCAATACTGACCGATATAACCTGTGTTCACATTATAGAGCTGATATTACTAACAGCTATTGAGTGATAAATAAACTGAAGCAGCGCTACATTCTGAATCATAAAACAAGATGAAATTCTACTTATTTTCACTCTTTGCATTGTTAAGACTCCTGACAGCTGTATTGTTTTACAGGTTATGATGTGACTACCAGTGTTACACCAAATCAGACAAAAGCTTTCCTCTTTTAGGTCAGTTAGGATTACCAAGATAATTTCTATTTGCTAAACGTCAGAAGATAATTTTTTATTACTTTCTTCAAAGTCAGATGTTTACATACACTAAGGTAACTATGCCTTCAAACTAATTGGGAAAGCCCTGATGATGATGTCATGGCTTTGGAAGCTTTTGATAGGTTAATTGACAACATTTAACTTAAATGGAGGCACACACTGCTTCGTTTTGTGACAACATGGAGAAATCTAAAGATATCAGCCAAGATGTCTGGTTCATCTTTGGGTACAATTTCCAGATGCCTGAAGGTTCCACATCCATCTGTTCAAACAGTTATATGCAAGTATAAACACCACGAGATCATCAGGCCTAATGCCAAAACTTATCCATTAGTGCAACCAAACTATTCATTCAGAAGTCTTCATTACTTTCAAAATAATCAGACTGAGGATGTGTGACAGGTTTTGTGACAATGAAACAATCTCCATGTTTTTCAGGTGATGTCGAACTCACCACAGTGGCACAGACGACTCTGGATTCAGGTATGCAAAATCAAAGGACCAGTGTGTGGAATTGAGAGATATCTCAACAGGGAGGGTGTTGATTGGTACGTCCTGTCACTTGTGAATAAGATCTCAAAATACATCAGTTTTGTCGCTTGGGGCAGCAACTCATCCCCCAACTCAGAGGGAACAATCCACCGGTTTCTGGCAGGGAACCACGGCCAACAGAACAATGTCATCCACACTAAGCAAAGACACGTCATAAACCAGATACCCTCCTGCACCTTAAGATCCTGACCATTATTATTAAGAACAGAATCGGATACAACAGACAACCGTGATGAAGCCCAAAACCAACTGGACCCATGTTTGACTTTGTGCCGAGGATGTGAACACATACTGGTGCAGCGTCAGCAGTAATGTAGGCGTTGTAATAGAGTGTTGTGGTGAAGGAAGCTTAGCTGGGAGGCAAAGCAGCAATGAGTTTCCTCCATTGGGCTCAATCGTAGAGATAGGGCGAGGAGCTCGGACAACCAAAGGGAAACTGGAGTAGAATTGGTATTTCTTTGTATCAAAATGGGTCAACTGAAGTGGTTCAGGCATCTGATTAGGATGTCTTCTGGGCATTTTCCTTTGGAGGTTTTATGGGCATGTCAAAATGGGAATAGATCCCTGAGGGAAGACAAAGACCTTGATGGAGGGATTACATATCTCATCTGGCCTGAGAAAGCCTTGGAATCCCCAAGGAAGAGTTGGTTAATGACGTCTGGAGTGCTTGTCTTAGCTTGTTGCCACCACAACCTGACCTTGAATAAGAGGAAGAAATCAAATGGATGGATGTGGACAGACACCTTTAGAAAACTGTGAGAAGGAGGTCCATGTTTTTCCATAAAACAGTACAGATGGCGGACCTTGTGTTCCATAAACCATCTACCTGAGAAGAACCTACATCAGGTGGTAGTCTTGCAGGCTACATGACACTTCCCCTTACCTTACCATCAACCTAATCCTCACTTGGAAGGGATGTTCAGTTGTTTGCAATCTGCTACCTCAGTGTTAGACGCCACTAAATCCAACACACTGGTCCTTTAGTTGGCTCTCATTGGGCCATCACTGTTTTACATGCTTTGTATGTGTCCCCAAGAGGTTTCCACATTGATTAACTTTGCATATACCAGTACTTCTTTGCTGCTGAATTAAATTTCCTTTTTTTCTTAAAGACATCAAAGCAGCTTTGGACACTTTCCGGACATCTGTGTACAGCACCGTTGGGATCATGGCAGTTGTCATCATAGCGTTATTAATCTATATCACACCAAAGCCAGTGTGTAAAGGTGAGACTTTTTGATGTTTACATAGAGTAAGTGGTTCACTGCTTTGGGTAGGTCGTCCTGCAGACCTCCTGCCGAAAGGATAGAATTCACCTGGCAGGCAAAACTGTAAAAAACAAAACAAAACACAGATTAAAATGTCAGAAACAGGAACAGTGAATATGTGAGTGAGTGCCTGTTGACTGATCTCACCTTGTTTTCCACGGAACAGGAAAATCCCAGAGCACACCAGACGTCAGTCTCGAGTGTCAGCATCACATCTACAACAACGATCAATAGGCCTTGTGTCTGTGCGACGAAATCAAACTGCTGTGCCCAAGTTAGGATATTAGGGCTCTGATTTGTGATTTTCTTAATGATATGTTAACTGTTGTATGTGTTAAATGATCAGCTAGACTTTGCTGGGCCTTGTGTTTTGGTGTAATATGCACATAAATGATTGATTGGGTTCCGTTGACTTTAAAATAATCAAATCAACTTCACAATTCCAATTCTTTATTGCCATTGTTTACTGCTGCTTTGAGTGTGCTTGTGTTGACTCGACTTTGAAGTTTTGAATTCCTGTAATTGAACCGTTGCAGCACAGAAGTGAAATTTCTCACTTTAGAAACCACTGTTGTTATTCTCCTGTGTGTACGTGCACCATGTGGCACAAGTGAATAGCTTCGTTTCCTACAGGTAACAACTGTCACTGCTCACAAGCATCCGGTGCAACTATCACTGTAAAATGTGATAGACTATATACTGCTGTATCTGTGTTTGCATCATCTCTGTATATGCACTGTGAGTGCGGATTAAAAAGGATTTTCTTCTTCCGATGTGCATTTAAGAGCAGAAAGACTGTCTACTGACGAACAGGAAGCAGAATTAAACCACATGAAAGTCACATGAAAGAGTTAAACAATCGCTGTTACAGTGGAAGACATGAGATCATATTGTACTCATCAGCTGGCTGAAACACAGAAGCGATGTAACGGCTGCTTCATTTTAAAAAAATCTTATAAGATTAAGATTTTACAAAAGCGCAAGTGGCGCTGTGAGGCTATGCTTAAGCACAGTGGTGGTTTGAGCGAGCCTGAATGATTATGCAGCTTTATTTAGCATATTAGCATGCCAACATTTGCTGGCGAGAACTAAGCACAAATTGCAGCTAAGGCTGATGGGATAGACTGGAATATATGGCCGGATGATGCCATTAGATCAGGGGTGCCCAATCCTGGTCCTCGAGAGGCCCTATCCAGCATGTTGTAGATGTTTCCCTCTTCCAACACACCAGATTCAAATGATCAGCTCATCATCAAGCTCTGCAGAAGCCTGATAACGACCCTGATCATGTGAATCAGGTGTGTTGGAAGAGGGAAAAATCTAAAACATGCAGGATAGGGGCTCTACAGGATCAGGATTGGGCATTAGATGAAAAGTAAAAGGACTAGAAAGCAACTGAGAGTCATCCTCTGGGGACAATGAACATCCACACAAAATTAAAGGTTCACTAATGCTGAGGTAGATGTTTTTAGCATGAGCCAAGGTGTGGGCCAACCAACCTACAGCACATTAAAAATAATAATAATTTTTAAAAAAGTATAATGATACCTTTTTTTTCATAAAAAATGAAACCTTCAAAAAAAAATAGCAAATTGTGAAAAAATAATCATATTTTAGCATTTTTTTTCTTATTGTGAGATATCTGACCAAACCCCAAATGGGTTTAACCTCAGCATTCAAAAGAAACAGCACATATACGTACATTTTACTGCTCAGGAACACGTATGTCTCCTTTAGGCCTGATGTGGGAAGCACATATTTATCTAAATAAGTTGGGCTTTAGTGTAAATTGTACCTTGGAGTACAGAAATGGGCCACAATCTGTTTCTGAGAGTGCGTTACTCATTGTGCCGCATGTTGTTTCCACACTTCTGTTACTGCAAAATGGAATAATATCAGTTCTCCAGAGAGTGTTACGTGGTGATCATCAACTAAGGGTTGTAGTTTCACAGTTAAGAATTTATTAGCTTTAAAGCAGCTTAGAAAAACCCTAAAACCTTACGAATGATCAATTTTCTGATCTGGATGACTCGTGTAGGCACATGCAGAGGAGGGACAGGTGTTAAGGCACATGTTTGGGGGGGAAACAGCGCTCCGTTCAAGATCACAGTTTTCACACCTTAAATTCAGGAAGTGACACTGTTCAGACCGAAACCTGTGCAATAAAAAAAAAGAAAAAAAAGTGAACCAAAGTTTCCACAAAACTCCTGCCATGATATTTCAATGTCTGCGACTAAGTGTGTAAAGTAAGAAACACCGACAACTTTAAAAAAAATGCTGTATACTAAAACACTTGTATGATGCGACGCCCACAATGAAATCCAACCAAGCAGCATCTTCTAAATCCAGCCAGCAGGGACATTTATACTCAACAAGCAGCACCTTGGTCTCGACTGTGAGCTTATGATTTAGCGGTTGTGACCACAAAATCTGATAACGCTTTCTTATCATAGAAACATCAGAACGTGTCAAAGGAAAGTAGTTTGCAGCTGCAGCCACTCTGCAAAGAGTGCTGGTTAAATGGCCAAAAGCAGAACAGAGAACTGATTTGTGAAAAGGGTGAGGAGGTGACGGGAGGGCAGCACGGTGCACGTGGGGCAGCGTGGCCTGTGGGATGTGCAGTTTCTGTGGTTTGAAGGTGCTAAAAGCTGACGTAAATCGCACAAAGCGGCACAGACACACCGTCTCCCTCACACACACGCTCGCTGCTCGACATGCTGCATCGCTGACCAACCACAATGTGACGCATGCAGGTAGACTGGGTTGTCTGAAATCGCCACTTTGGGGGGGGGGGGTAATTGCAAAACTTGTGGCTACACTGTAAACTCAATAACTGTTATTTTTAATACAGTGGAGGTGAGGAAATTGTGCAAAGAGATTTACCTGAGAACTTTCACTTTTCAGCAAGTTGCGCGAGGTTGACATCTAGTGGTGTCAAAGTGAAGCTCAGTATTCTGCTCTTGACAGGTCAGATGATCTTATTATCGTGGTGGCACAAGCTGTGGATGGATAAATAAAACTATACTCACCAAGGAAGCTGAGTGGAACTATTATTTCCGAGCAGTGTGGCTCCATAAACCTTATAAGTACTTCTACTGCCAAGTCCACGATAAACCCCACACCGCTTCCTCCAGATAAGCTGCTATTGTTTTCATTAGTAGTCATTATTTGCTTTAATAGCTCTCAGGTCACTGATAATAATCAAAATGAGACTGGCAAGTCGTAAAATAACTGCCCACCCTTTCCTGCCTTTGTGAGGTTGTGAAAACTGTAAGGAAAACAAACTGTTGGGGAAAACTCAGGACATTTATGGTAAACATCCATCCCAAAACCAGGAGGTCCACCACTTATCAGGTACTTGCCGTCTTTAGATCTCTCCCCAGAAAGTTTCACAATCGTCAACGTCTTGAGTCATCCTTCACCAGGCAGTTTCACAACAATTCACACCTTAAGACGTGTGAGTTTTGGTTTACTGAAGGCCGTGACCAATGTGACTTGGGGCAAAAATCCCAATCTGGAGTTGCCCATTAGTCAGACGTGAAGAAGCTTCTTGGATGAAACGACTTCAAGTAAAGCTGCCTTACCTGAATAGGACTTGTACGACCGAGACACGAAAAAAAGACATCGGGGGGGAAAAAAAGGAGATAAAAGAATCAGTCTATTGTTTTTCAAAAGCATATAGACGTCAAAAATAGTGACTTTGATTTCAAACAACTTAGTAAAGCTCCTCGTAAGAATCCTGTTCTGTCATTGAGGTGAAGTGTTGCAGCACCGAGGGCCAAATCATACCGTGCACGGTAATACCAGTATAATGACAGCATAACACTTACTGTATATTTTACTTATGTTTTATTGTTTGTGTATTTATGGTGGTGGTAACTCTATCTTTATACTGCAACAACAAAATGTCCCCTTGGGGATTAATAAAGTATTTCTACACTATTAGAGGATGATATGAAATTGAAATAATTTGAGTGAAATGCGCAATGCCCTTGTTGTCATCCGGTCTAATGCACATGGAGCGAGAAGCGTGGCGCAGCAGGGCAAACGCAGTGCATCGACCGACACTGTAGGCCTGGACCTGAACATCAGAACATTGGTGTCCACATAGCAATGTTGAGATCCGAATACTGATCTGCCTCGCGCTACCATCCCTAATTTATATCATGATTAATATTTTTGGCCACATCATCCTGCCCTAGTAGCCAATCATGTAATTATTTAATAACAATGCAATGATATTCACATTTCAGTTTTATTGTTTTAACCCTCAAATGTACTGTACACAACAGGAGCAAGTCCACGTCTGTGCAAAACCGGTTAACTGCCAGATAGCTCAAATTTGTATCACAATACAGTGATTACTTGTAGGTTGGACAGCAGGGTATTTGCTGTGATGTAAAGGTAAGAACTGTTTAGATTTACTATATTAAATATAAAGGCCACACAGTAGGAATTTAAAAGTCAGCTCTTCAGAAACTCTAGTGTGATTTTGTGCTTTGGATGGTTGTCAAGTTGGACGAAACATCTTCTGCCAAATCTGTTCAGCCAGAATTTGTATATCCACAGGCATTTATGGTGAAATCTATATATTTAAAAAAAAAAAAGAAAAATCTCCCCCACACCTTTTCCACTCATGCAGCTCCATATATTCTCTACTCCGTGCTTCACTATCAGGACTATCCATTCACTTTGGTAGTCCATCTGAGCCCAACAAAACCATCTACCACACTTCTTTCTTTTCATATTACATTTCTGATTAAGTTAAGAGCTTATTTAATGACATTTTGAGGTTACATGGCCAGTAAATAATGACTTTTTGGGTGCTATAAGCATTTATTCAGTCACATCAAAAAGAACCCAACCCTGGTGATTATGGCTTTAAGGTAGACTTCATCCTGTCACGTTTGCCTCATTCTGACTCACAGCTGACTCACTTAAATAATACCTGAAACAACACTTGTGGGCCTGGACGTGCATTCATTTGAAGCTTTAAATATTTGTGTTGGTTAGTCATATAGATCATTGTTCAAAAATAGACAAGTTATCCACTCTTAAAGCCCAGGAGACAAAAAGTAAAGTCACTGCAGTGGGCTGTGGAGGGAAGGAGTTTCCTATTGTGTAACGTGTTGGTGAACCAACCGTACCACCCACAGTCTACAAACACCAACGGGCCACTGTGTCGAAAGCTGGTTTGGAGAGTTTGGTGGCGAATTTGTAGGAAAAATATATTGAGATGCACAATCAACAACAGATAAACGTCTGATTTATCTCCTCTGCACCAACTATTTGTTTTGCAGATGCTAAAAACAGTAAATGCAGCTCACAAACAATGCTGACACAGAAGAATGAAGGAAAAATGAAACAGTAGAGTAGTTTCTCAACCTCAGCAACTGCATTTATTAACAATTAAACCTTCTCTTTGTATATACAGATAACTGACTTCACTGTAAAACAAGATGTTGAGGTTAATCGTTATTAGAATATATGATTTTTTTAAAAAACAATAATACTGTACACAGCCCGTTTGGGCCTATATTAATGCTTTCCCAAATAAAAAGGTAACACTGGGGCTCCCTACAGTTCAGCTCTGTGAGTCTGAAGAATACTGTACAGCAATGCAAGCACACAACGCTTCTTTAAAATCACACAAACAGAAAGAAGCACCTCTTGACTTTGTCGCATACATGCAAACAGTGATTCACAGCTGCAGGACTCGTCGGGGCAGCGCGAACACGTGAAGGTTAGCGCTCGACCACCCTTCTCCGCCCCGCGTGCAGCAGCTATAAATAACAAACCTTTCATTCTTTCCCACGCAACCCTTTTTTTTTTTTTTCTTCAGGGTGACTCATACAGGGCTGGTTCACGGACGTTAGCCTCAGTGCCCCTGCTTAGGTTCCCGTAACTCGCAAGTTTAAAACGAGTGCTCTTTTAATCATGCGTCTTCTCCATTGGACAACCGCAAGTGGAGGGTTTTTCAGGTGACAGCCTCGTGGTGGACATGTCCCACAGCAATCAGGCGGCAAAGAATAGCTGACGTGGGACGACATTCTGAGCCACTTCTGAAGGCCCTGAAAGCGTATTTCCTCAATCAGACACGTTAAACCACAGTTAGAAAAGTGGTTCTCAACTTTTAAGATTATGTCACCAGATGATGCTACAAGTTAAATCTGATCCAACTGCAGCCACACAATGACCTGATGAGGACGAGATGTTTGGTTTTTTAACTTTAAATCAATCAATCTGCTTTTATTTGTTGCTAGTTTTGTCATGAAAGTCTGTAGAAGGAAGCAAATTTGCAAAAATATAAAAAAGGCATGTATTTGAATGGTAGCTAATCAATGCCCTGCTGATGAATGATTACGTTTTTTTATTTAAAGGTTCCATATTGTGCCCCTTTTCTGCAAATTACAGAATGAATTTTAAGCTCAAGTCCTGAAAAGATGAGCTGCTGCTGTTAACGCCCCCTTCAGGAAGAAACCTTCCCTACATCTGCGATTGACAGTGCAGAACACAACTACTACACCGACAAGTGCACAACTTTCCATCGCTCCTAACCGTCTCTCTAAGCAAACATCTGACACTGAAATATCCCAAATTTTGCAGCACAGCAGTTTACAGTTTCGACAGAACTAACGGCCATGTCAGCCACACTAAACATTTTCCGATCGTTGCAGTGACCTTGCCGTCAACAGTAAAAGCAATCCACTGCGTTCCCTCGATGCTGGGAGTGCATGAAGACTCTTGTGTTCACTCCTACAGCCAGCAGCAGAACATTTTAGCAGAAGCTGTGAGGCACATTCTGAATGACTCATCTGGAAGCAGCAGCAGTGAGAGGGCAGGATTTTAAAAATTGGAGTTATTGGAGCTGTTGGTGCCTCAGCTGGCTTGTAGCAGTTTAGTAAAACTCATACTGGCCTCTCGAGCTGGAGGGGTATTCAGGTTTGGAGGAAGAGCAGAAGGGAATGTCTTGATACTATACGGGGCCTTTAAATGACCTCTACTGAAGCCTAGATCAACCTAGAATTTAAAAAAATATATACAACTTATCACAGTGTTCTGATCAGTGAATTGCACGCTCACGATTACACACACACACGAGTAAAACCTTGACAGGGCAGAAAGTATTGTTTTACCCCAACAATAGGACCTCCACCGTGCAACAAGACATACAAATCTAACTCCACTATTCTTCTCTGAAGGATTTCCTCCACAATCACTGCAGCTCTTCTAAAGTTAGTGTAACATCTAGCATTAAATAAAGTGGTTTTAGTGATGTTTGCTTTGTTGGTTTTTTTTTTTGCTCAGCTCGTGGAAGCAGAAGCGGCAGCGTTGGCTCGGCTCTGCTGCCCTTCCTCTGAGCTGGAGGCCACGGTGCTGAGCAGCTAGGTCAGGTCCAGGGCTCCGCTGGACCTTCATCAAAGCAGGCGACGCCGGGACTCCAAATCAGTCTGGACAGGAGAAAAAAAAAGGAAGGAAGGGGGAGACAGTTAGTTGGTCAGCCTGCCACCTTTGTCCCAACACCACTAGAAACTTTCCACAACGTTTCCTTTCTCATGTTGGATTAATCACACTGTCCTTCCTTCAGTCTGCTCGTCTCCTGACGACTTCCTACCAATGGCGACTAGTCCGAAACGGAAAACTTTACCAACAGAGATCTGTGTTTAATTTGTATTTAGTCCATGATGAGTTTTATAATCTGCCCGGAGCAGACCCATGTATAGAGACGGAGCAGCATACGAGCATTCGTGTTTGAACAGAGGACGTATGACTTGTCTGCTCAGGACACTATGACCCAACTATATCGTCACATAGTGAATAGTTGTTTGCTGCTAAATTAAAGCGATTCTTGTGTTCAAAATCTTGCAAATTGCACCTTCAAAGACTGTTACCGTTCATCCAAAACTACATTTTAACCAACCTTTGAATGCTACCATAGTTTCCGGACTATAAGCCGCTACTTTTTTTCCACACGCTTTGAACACAAATGCGACATCGAGTGCGACAACAAAAGAGAGACTGAGGAAGTGTGTGACGAAGTAAATCTGACAATTCTGACACTGCAGAAGACAACTTAAGTGGTTTTAGAGCGCAGGAGGAAGATGAAGATATCGATCAATGACTTTTCCTGGTAGGCTGCTGTATTTTTATTTTCCTAACCAGCCGTGTTACAGGCGCTGTTTGGAAAAAAGCATTTACGTATTTGTGTATGTTAGCGGTACATATTTAATTAAAAGTTTTAAAAAATCTTTGTGTAAATATCTCATATTACAACGTGGACACCTACGGATGGATGGATGGATGGACGGATGGAGTTTATATTCAGGTTCGCTCAGTAGTCTGAAAGTTACAGTAAATGCAAAAGTCAACATGACAATGCTTACAAGCTGATATTTGCGGGTTTGTTTACCATTTTTAACATCTTTGTTTAGCATGCTAGTATGAATGAAATAGTCAAATGTGACGATGGAGCTCCAGGAAAAGTCACAATAGGACAAAGTGTGGTGTCATGAAGATCCATCAAATACCTGTTGAATCATTTCACTTTTGCACGAGCTGAGATAATCAGTTGGATGGCATCAGCACACTTTGACTGCACTAAGAGCAAACTTTCACTGCTGCTACAAGTGACAGCGCAAATCACCCACGTTTACTCAAGATATGAGTTAGAAGTTAGTGTGTAAAGAGTCTCTGCAGGGGCACCAAGTAAAGAGTTTCTCTATGCCCAGACGTCGTATTTACTTGATATAAATCCCACACGGGAATGCAAAAGTAAACACAGCAAGCACCGACACGTCTTATACATACATCGAAACGCCCACTCACATCCAAAGAGACCACATGTGCAAAATAATGAAACATTGCAGGAATGCCAGAGCCATAATTAAGTGCCTGCCACACCTCGGTGTACATGTGGCAGCAATGTGAGTTATTTCGAGGTGGCTCACTTGGAAAGTCAATAGCACTGAAGGGAATCGACAAATAGAGGCAATTAGAGCGAGAGTGACGAGTTAGCTGTGCGAGATGCTGGAAAATCGACCATGCAGAGGCTGATGAATGCTTCTGGCTGTTAGAATAAGCTTGATGGTAAAGGCAGTGACTTTTTGCAGTGTAGTGACCAGCAGGTGTCACCTCCGTCATGTTGGGAATTTGTTCCCTTTTCCTCCCTCTAATCTCTCAGGAGCTGCCACTTCAGCCATGTTTGTGTGCCAGACCGGATGCGGTTCCTGCCCGTTGCTTCCTGCAGCGCCGCAGATTGAAAGGTGCCTCTTGCTTTCATGAGCAAAAATCTTATCTGCCATCAGTTCGCTGTGACGCCGTACCTTCGAGTTCATGCATCTCCACCAGGCCACGCCAAAAAAATCATGGAAGCACAGCCACAAATAGACCAGCGGCACTTTCCTGGAAGAACCTCAGGCCTTGACCCTTCTTCCCAGCCGGGATCGGAGCAGGCAGGAGCTGAATTATGCCCTCTGATTCAGAAGGGAACCACGGGGGCCTATTTGTGGCCGGTTCGTGGTTCGACTCCCGCCGCAGACATCACAACTTTGTAGTGTGTCCACAGTGGGTTTCTCTGTAGTTCAACATCTCACAGACTTTGTCAACACAGGGTCTTACTTTCAGACTGCTGCAGCACTTTAGAGGATTTCCAGCTTTGCCACTAAGTCAGCAAGGAAGTGTGGATTGTTTTCTTGAGGCAAAGTAAATGCTCAGGCAAATTCAGTGTTTACAAACCGTCGCAGAAAGCAACAATGTTCCGGATAGTTTTGGTTTTAGAGCCTCAGTTTTGTGGCACTTTGCCTGTGACGTTGTGCAAAACTGAACTGAAGGCACTGAAAACAAATGTTCTCATTCATCTTCTCAATCGGATTAATCTGCCATCGTTTTAAAAACAGTAGGGATGCATGATTGGTACCGTATCAGTGTTTTTTCCCCATGTATCGGTATCAGTCCGATGAACAAATTTAGCCGATGATTGTCTAACATTAGCGCCACAGATGTTTTTACTTAAATGGTCCAGGACTTGAATGTTAAATATGTTAAAATACGTTTAAATAATACATAATAAAGAAGACTATGTGGTCTAATTTGTCTTCGTTTGAATAGTTTTCACAGTGCCTAGTTACTCATTTTTCCAGTGTGAGCAAAAAGAATATCAACATCTGTACAATTGGTTATCGGTGATATCAGAAATCTTAACATTGGATATCGGCATCGGCCAGAAATTTTAATATCGTGCATCACAAAAAAATTATATTTGTATTTTTTTACTCTCAGCATTTTAATCAAAAAGTGAGTATGATCCATTTTGGTGTTTGATTAAAGGTGCAACATGAAAGATTTTAAACACAAATCCAGCATCAAACAACAGAGACCAGAGTCCTACTTTCTCTGTGTTTGCTGTAATCTAAGCTTCCGTCCATGCGTGATGGTGCACGTGAGTCCCTCCTGCGCTAGCAACAGTTCAAAAGTGACCTCTTAGACAGCATCAGAAAAGCATTTAAATATTTGCCATAAATAAAGTAGGCGCTTTAACCACATTCGGTAAAAAGCGAAAAATTCTGCACTCCTCAGTGCAACCGAGAAGCTTTGAGTGACTCAGCTGAGATCAAAAGTCTTGTGACAAAAATTTACAGACTTTTGTTTTGCTGAACTGGGCTAAACTACAGGTTGTGTTTACATTGAAGAGACAGGAGAATCATACTAAAAAAAAAAAAGTCTTATTTTGTGATTCTCTCTACTTCTGGTCATGGTTTTGCTGTTTCCATGGAGGTGTAGGATTTTATACTGCACGGGCCCACAGTGAACAAAAATGTGAGAGGAGCAACAAGCTGCTGGAAGTGCAGAAGGTTAAGTTGTCGGTTCAATCCTACACAGTCCCACTGAAGCAGATTAGCTGCATTTTTTAATGTTTAAGTAGCTCTTTTGTCTTAAAATATACCTCTGGTGTTGCCAATATTTGCCATGAATATTCATCTTTTCTGGCACTTTACACAGTTTTCTTAAGGACTACATTTTTGGTAGAACTGACATGTAATATTCAACAATGTGGTGAGTGGGTTATACAGACTAATTCAGACATTGCTTCTGAAAAGATTTGTTGTTGACTTTTCAGCTGAGCGACTGATCCTTGAACTAAACTGAACTTTCTTGCTCATGCATCACTGCCAGTTCATGCCCTGTATGTCATCATTTGCTACATTATTCAGATTCTCCATAAAGCTGTGTGATGCAGTTACGACAAAACATATAAGAGCAGCACCAAATAAGGACAGAGACATCGAGACACTTTGCGTCACAGCTGCCTTCCCCTGAACTGCAATCTGAATCACATCACAGTAAAAGCCTGTGTTCCACGCCAACACTGGGAAATACAGTACGCGAGTGTCTGTACAGTCGAGTGTGAGAGGCCACGTTGTTATCAACTGGGCAGGATTTCAACCTCGGGCTGCTCCCTCATCCAGGCCCCCCAATGTCTGTCTTTTGCCTCAGTCTAAGGGATTAGATGGAGAAAGAGGGGCCTTTTCTTCAGGCTGCTAACTCAAGACAATCGGCACGACCACTTGGTATTCTGCTCAGGATCGGCAAACTTTCAAGCAACGTGTTAAGTCTGGAGAAAACTTTACTTCCTGAGAGAAATCTATTTTTGCAGTGACCCTGCTGCGATCTAAGCAACATATCCGACAATCAATCACATTGAAGACGTCGCGTTTGAGACCAAACCAAACACACAAATCAACTTGAATCAACAGCGTGTGGGTGAAAGTTGCTCTTGGAACTTGAGGTAATGAGAAAGGCAACGTGTCAGTGACCTCCCAGCTTTAGGAGCCGAGGAAAATGTGAACATGTGCCGCCCACTTTCTTATCACGCTTGAAAACAAAGACAAGGAGGAGCCGGAGGAAAAAGGAAACTCTTTAATCACTCGTCTAGTCACTGCTTGATTGAAGTTTATACTAAAAGGTTTTAAAAGACGGCGAAAGTCAAACATAAAAGGTCAATGCAGGAATGATGTATTTAGGTTTCTACACTTGAAACAAAAAAAAAATCTAGTCAAATTAATTTAAAATCATGCAGCAGGGGCGCTGAAAGGAACACGTTAAAAACTAGAATTCTGTAATGTTGAAAAACTGGAGGGAAAAAGTGGAAATAAAAGCAAATATCTATTGAAATTAGCTAATTAATTATAGTAAAACTGTAGTTTTATGGTCATACAATGTAAAAGAACAAATACTGATTTTTTTGCTTTAACGTGCAATTTAAGCTTCTTTTTTAAAAGTCATTATGTACTTTTTTTCTGTGATTTTACTAAATGTACCTATAATCCAAAAAAACTGGGAAAATCTGTAAAACGGTTAAATCATGTTTATAGGTACAGTTTTTCTTCAAATAAAACCTGTACATTTCGATTATTTTTTACCGATTTAAATACAGCAAAGACAGTGTAATTGGCCTGATTTTTTTTAAAAAGGTTGCATATAAATGAATAACTTCTTCTGTGATTTTACTGGTTATTATGTGTTGTGTAACTAAACAGACAAAATCTGTGAAACAACAGCAAATTCTAAAAAACACTCCAGTTAAAATGATCCTTTTTTACAGTGTATGGGTTCTTTTGTCGGTTCGCGTGCCGCAAAAAACAATATTAAATCAAAAATGCCCGTTGCCAAATGGAGAGCAGCCGTGGGACCGTCCTGACCTTGACATCTCAGCTCTTACTTTTGTTTTTCTTCCTTTACGACTTGTGTTTTGGCCGGCAGGGACATCTGATTCAGCCAAAGCTTGTGTCATTTGTTGCTCCCTGCCTCTCGTCAGGGCGCAGAAAATTCATGATGAAAGGGGGAAATGGGCAACGGTCCACACGTCACATAACGCTGGCAACAGACTGTTTCCATGACACCCAGGGAGGATTGTGGGCAAAGGTGTTAACAGGAGTCAAAGGAGTGTCGATGACACCTCGGTGTGGAAAGTAGCTGCGAGTTGACCTTTTGGGTGTGCTTTCCGGTTAATGGGAGATAACGGTTGAAACGCGAGAATTTCTCACATTGACTGTATTTTTCAATTTCTAACATGCGAAAACCGAACTTTTTACACTTTTTATGAGCCCTTTTGGTTGAGTCTCAGATAGCCAGACCATTCTCTAGCAGCAACACAACGCTGTGTAGATTGGTCTGACAGAACCTAATTATCATTCTGCTATAGGTGAGAATAAAAAGCTCCGGCGCTGCAAAAAATATACACATGGTAGCTGCCAGTAGTTGGCTGCACGGTGGTGGCAGCATCATCAAAACTCAAGTTGATACCTAGAGCATTACAGTGAAGAGTTACTTCTAGGAGTTAAAGACATTATCCTTCATTTGGAGTCATGTTGGTGTTGAATTTAAGTGCAGTTTTTGCTCTATTTTTGGTCTCCTCCACTAACTCCTAAGGGAAATATTTGACTTAGTTTATAAAGTAGTCGTTAATGTTGTCTTCCACTTGGAGTCATTTCTGGCTAATAGAAATTTTATCTGGTTTTCTTAACCACGAGTCATTAGCATTCAATATTTGATTAATCAATGAATGTAAACGCTGATGGAGATGTTTTTACCATAACTTTAAAAGCAAAAATGACACCACAACATCAGCAACTGGCAATAACAACACAGTCCCAGCTGAGAAAACATGAGAATTGTCCGTAAGTCATCAATGGCGACCGAAGTCTGGGCCTGTTGCTAAACCCCTACAATGATCTCTGCTCGTCAACACAGAAGGTCGTTACAGTATTAAACACAGCAAACAAACTGCAGGCTTCTTCCTCAATAAACATCTGGTGGTGCAACCAGGTACTTTAAGTAATGTACAATACATTTCCTGACATGCATGTCCCTCGTCTTCTGCCATATTCTTAGATTTTTTATTGTTAAAACCATTTTTAGCTCCATTTTTGGTCTCCTCCACTCAGGGAAAATCTTGCGCTTTAGTTGCTGCATGCTCTGCTTCAAGCAGTTGTTAGCTTTGTCTTCCGTTTGGTGCTACCTTACAGTTTTTAAGAGTTATTTTTGGCTGATGAGAGGGAACCAAAACAATGAAGTTGCAGACTATAAAACCCAAAACACATGGAGCTAAAAGATGCTCAATAGAGGCGGTGGGATTTGTAGAGTTGGGTAATGATTTTTGTGGATTTGTCACAACAACCAAGCTTTTAAATATACAAGCAGTCGTGTGATTTGTTGTCAGTTTAAAAATAAACAACAATAACAGCAGCTTTAACTGGGATTCCTAACGGTAAACAAGTTTTATCAGACAAAAGCTGGCTGAGCTGCCGTAGCTCTTGGAGGTCGGCTTGGTGCGTCCCAAGGCCCATAAAATCCCAGGATGTTTTCTGTTTATGCAACCAGAAGAAATGCAAGCACTTCATCACAGTGACAACAATGACAAGAGGCACTCAAATGTTGGCCAGCGCAACAGGCCACAAGATAAACACTGCACTGCATATTATCTCAGTGTTTTTCTCCCATGATCCTGCAACAGAGAAACGCCAAGAAGCAAATGTACGATCATTTTAAAAGGTTCAGGCCTGTGTTTTAAATGTCGTCGCTCATTTCTGGAGCAGTTTCTCAACCATATAGTTACACAGTTCCCCCTTAAAGCTTCCCAGAATAGTCTTCTGCTGAACTTCGAAGGAATTGCTCAAACTGCTTTTTATTTATTTTCCTCACCCACGTTTTCCTGAGCTACCGGGATTGAAACTGGCACCCATGAAGGGGAAACTCCACTTTCAGACACCATCATAGCAGAAGTACTTCATTTTTGATGGCATGCGCTAATTTGCTCTTATGCACTTTGGAAAACCAGCAACAAGCGGACTGCACTGCTGCAACCGCTGCACTTTCTGACAGTTCTAAATATATTTATATAAGTCATCACAGAGAGTTAAATGTGAGGCTTTTTGTGGATTTGAAGATTTGAGACTCACCATCAGTGCAGATGAAGCACTTGCAGAGACACACACACAGACACAGGAGGAGGACGGCTGCCACGCCGCCCACCGACAGCAGGATAACCATGGCCGGACTCACTGCAGCACAACAAAAAAACAAAACACAAGTTTCCTCCAAAATGCTGTTTACGTTGAAAAAGCGCAATGCGTGACATCTGGACTAAACATGTTAGGTGATGTGAGGATAATCTCATTCAAAAATAATCCTTCCCGGTATGCAATGACATTACAGGACCCCATCAAAGCAGCCATAATTACCCGAGATGGAAATAGCAGAGGATACACACATGTTTAAACAAAAGCCTCTCTTCTGCTGCACCTCAGCACGCTGGGACGCAAAGTAAAAATAGTTTAAGGCACATATTGGGATAAGTACAACACTGTTTGATACGACTTCACTGATTCTAAGTAACTGCATGATTTGTGGAACATTTAAAAAGTCCCTACAGTAGAAACTAAGAAAACTTTGTACACCTTTCATGTCTAAGATATCCTATTTTGTCAATATTTCATATGTCTACATTTGCTTTTGGTAGCAATCCTCCTCAGCATGGAGGAAACCAGTTATCTTGATGGTTATAATGCTCCTCTTCTGTCAAGTTTCTGCAGGCTGGGATTCATCTCGTCAGCCAGGATTTATCCACATACATTCATGGTGTCATCTATGAATGTCAACCCTACAACACTTCTCATGTGTCTCCACATCATCATGCTTCCACCTCCGTGCTTCACTGTGGTCGTCCTGGTCAGGTTCCCGCCAACAATACTGAACCCCGTCTGGACCGAACACATTCTCAACTGACTGAAGAATGTGCTCCAAAAATCTACCAGGCTATTTTTTCCCAGATTTTTGGAAAGTTTATGGCGCTAAACAAGAGGGTTTTGCTTGGACACCATCCACAGAGGTTCACGTTACGCAACATCCCTCTCATTGTCCGATCCGTCACACAAACTCTGGTTTCCATTGGTGACGACTGTGCCAAGTCTGGAGCACTGGCCTGTCTCGTTTCCAGAGCTTGATTGTGCTTGATTGCAAAAAGTCCTGAAGCTTTTCTGACACACCTCGTAAGGATAATTTATAATCATATTCATGTAATTAGGCTGAAAGGAAATCACAGGTGTTCAGTTTAGTTTAGGAATTGCAGGTTTTCTGAGCCATTTGTCAGTGTTTTTACCAAATCTTAAGGCCTGTAGTTTTATTCTTTAAGGTGTTTGTTTGAAACACTACTTTTCAACTAAGAAACGATGCAACTGTTGAGAGGTGATATAGCTTGAATCATTCAGGTGATGTTGCTCAGCAGTGCTCAGTTGTATATCAATCATGTATTCAGAATTAACTCATCTTACACCATTTATAAAAACTCATGAAACATAACTTAAGATCTCCTCACCACTTGTGCTGAGGGACAGCGTCACCGGTTTCTCCAGACCCTGGTGGTGCACGATGCACTTGACGGACAGGTCGCTGAGCATCCCTGACTGGAACAGCAGCGTGCTCGTTACTACCGTCGTGCCGTCGCCCTGATCGTAGGACGACAAAATGGGCGGCCCCAGAGTTCTGTTGTCGCCGCCGACGCTCCACGTGACCTCCGCCGCGGGCCGGGACTGGGCGGTGCAGTTGGCCTCGGTGAGCCCCGCAGGTGAGGTGACGTGGGTCACCTCTGGTTTGGGTAAAACTGGGGAAAGGAAAGTCAGGACTAGCGGTTAATGTGCTGCTTTTTCTGTCTTTATTTGGTCTACCAATCACACGCAACAGAAAGCACAAATTTGCTCGGACAGATAGAGCACATCGCCTGTCAATCTCTGCCCCGAGGACACGGTGACACAAGTCCGACAGACCCGGCCTGGAAACAAAAGCCAGACAGACAACAGAGGCAGAGCAGCTTTTACTAACTGGGTGTGTGTTTATGTGTGTGTCTGGATCTTTGGTTCCGTCAGTTTGGACAAAAGCAAAGCCTGTTTAGCAGAGCAAGAAGGACACACACGCACCTAAACCCACACTGAGGCCTTGTGTCTGGGGAAACAGTGAACCAGTCATCCCCTGGGCTCCATCCCAAAATTAATCACCCCCCTTCCCCGCAGCGACACCCCTCCCTCATTATCGCTGCAAAAACACACACTCAGAGGAAGATCAGCAGCCGCTCGCACTCCTGGAACGTTTGCTTACGGCTTCTACAAGTCTAAGAGTGCTTACACTCACTTTGCACCTCTCTGGCACGCTGACGGGAAAAGAGAGGGCGAGATTAAGTGTTGTCTGGGGACACGGAGCGCCGTCTCCAAAACAGTAGTTTAATGACCCACTCCAGCGCCGCTCACCTCAGGCCTGCATGTGGTTTGTTTATACACTGCGCTTCCCTTTCCTGAGCTCTATCTGGGGCACATGAACTCACAGCAGCACACATTTCCTCTCAGGTTATTGTATAGCTTCTGTACAGTACATGTCAAGCTCTGTTTGAAAACAATCCAAGAAGTGTTCGGAGTATCTACAGATCTACTGTAGTACAACAGTAATAAAAACAGTAGTAAGAGCAGTTGTAAAAATCCTGATTTTGATTAAATGTGACTCCAAAAACTACACCAAGCATTCATTTTGTGACCCATTACATGTTTTTTAAATAAAATGTACACATATTACTTGGAAATAATGGTTTTTAAAAAATAATGCAGGGTTTTATGTGTTTTAACAGATCTAAAGGCAACATTTTGTGACATGTTAAGATAAGCTAAACTACATTGATGCCTCACACTAGCAGTAATGTAATGTAAGTAGGGCTCATTTTAGACAAAAGGATTATGTTGGTTAAGATATAATGGAGTTCCTAAGTCAGCACCATGTTTCACGGTTCCTGTGGTGCAAACAGCCACCTCAGTTCCAGCGTCTAGCACCGGCAGAAGCAGTGACTACAGATGTGTGCACTGCAAGTGTCATGGAAAAATACTGCATCTGCATGAAGACTGTTAAAGCAAGTTTCTCTAAGTTTCTTTCAAGCTGAGTGGAAAGGTTACAGACCCAAAATGTGTCCCCATAACATCTAGGTAAACACTAGTGGCTGTACATGGGAAGAAGAAGTTGTGCATCCCATGTGTTTAGACTATTGATGCCTGATCCAGCGTGTTTAGTCTTCTAAATGTCTGTGGATGAGTACACCCTGTACACCCAGCTGTTGTTTTCCAGCATGGGATTGTTATGCTACCATTGGAGTAAAGACCACGCCTGTACATGTATAAGAATACTACGCTGCCTGCACTCATGTGTACTCTCCTGCAGACTGCTTGCATTCTGTATGACCTGTACCTTCAAAGCTTTGAATAAAACGAGACAAAGACAACTCGGACTACTGGACTTTATGTAGATCATAGAAAATTTCCTCAACACAAGTCTATTTGTATGTTTGCAAATTCACCTCCTGGTCTGTCACATGGCATCTTGAAACTTTATTTTAGACACGTAGGACACGACTGAAATCAAAAGATCCTCACACATTCTGTTGTGGTAAGTATCCATACTGTAGTAATAAAGTGCCAATACTAGTTGTGTTATATGTGCCAGCAAACTTTACAGTTCTGAGATGAGCTATAAAACCTCACGAGACACCTTCCTGCTCTCTATCAGTTCACCTCACCACTAATTCATGTCTCACTGATGGCTGTAATTTGTTCTAATCCTCATCCATGCTGGGCTCTTCAATGCCTGACAGACTCCTATTGGTTCCTTTGTATGCATATGAGGATACATTTTGATCTTCTTCAGTGTCAAACTGCTGTTGGGATCCATATTTCTTCTTGTTAAACTGGATCTAACTTGGCTGCTCCCCTTTTTGTGACATCACAAAGTTGTGATTTTTGAAGCGGGCTTGCAACTATTACAAAAACTTCTATAAATGTTACTGTGGTACACATGGAGACATATTTTTTAATTCACCGGAGTCGACAACCTGCGAGTTGCTCTTTAAAATGGCCTCAAAAGCCTAAAAAAAACCAAAATGCTAGCAGGTTTCTAGCCGACAGCAGGTCCTCCAAGGAGTTTCTAATAAGAAATAAAGGACTACATAAAGAAAAAGACGTCTCACCATATACAGAGAGGCAGGCGGTGGCGCTCCTGACGCCATCTGGGTACGCGTGGAACTCACAGGTGTAGCAGGCCTCGTCCTCGGTCCGGACCGGCTGGATGGTCAGCTGGGTGTCTCCGAGGGTCCGGCTCAGGCTGGCCCGACCCCTGAACTGCTCCTTCGTGTCATGGGGGCCATGTTTGGTGTAGGAGGCCACGGTGGTGGTGTCGCCCTGCTCGGCGGTCTTCCTCCACAGCACCTGGCGAACCCTCTCGGGGAGGGTGTACCAGCAGGACAGGGTGGTCGGCTTCCCGCTTATGGCCGTCTTGTTGCCCTCCAGGTGCACCGTACCTGGTACAAAGAAGGCCATTGTGTGGTGAGATGGTGGTGGTGATTTTCTGCTTGTGTGCAGTTTCAGGGGCAGCAAGAAGGAGTCTGGCACTGATAAAAAAAAAAATGTGTGTGCACATTTTACAGTAACCACAGGAAGCACTGAAGCTGACAGGGTGGGTGGGCTTTCTGTCCTGCTGATCTGGAGCTCTGCTACTTCCTGTTTTAAGTCCTTCTGCAGTCGTAGGTAAAACAAACACTCTGCGTGACTCTAATTTGGACAATGTGCAAAGACAACTGAATGTGACTTTTAGAAACAAACACAGGGTACAAAAGTTTAAATGTCAGGTGGAGCTGCAGCACTAAGAAATGCCAACTTGTTATTTATGAAAACAGAAGCAGGGAACTATTAACCCTGTACATCCTCAAAAACTCCCCCAATTACACCATTTATCAGCACATGACTAAAACTGTAAGAACAGAATGGTCTTATTTTAATCTCTCTAATGTCTTTGAGCTACTCAAGTCTGACATGTGGTTAAACTAAATCAAAGCTTAAAAATCTGGTGTTTCAATAAAATCACTAATTTCATTTCTGGGCCTCTTTGGATGAACTGCAGGCTGTGTTTAAACAGAGCAGATAGAAGACAAGTATGGAAACTGTTAGAGATTGAGAGGAAAATAAAGCACACTTTAGAAAAAATAAATGCAGCATGACTAAAAACAACAACAACAAAAAAACAGTATACAGAGGAGCAAGTTGCAGGAAGATACAGACAGAATGAACACAACTTAACTGGAAACACTCCTTAAACACTTACCGGTGACACTGATGCATGTCGAGGCTTCTTGCGGCCCTCTCGGGTAAACGTCAAAGATGCAGCGGTAGCAGCCTCCGTCGTCAGGGCGCAGCTTGTTGATGGTGATGTAGCTGGCGTCGTTGTGGGAGGCGGTGAGCTGCACGTTGGGCTCTCGGTGGCTGATGACGACCGGCTCGCTCGGCTGGTACGCCAGCAGGACCTTGGACTGCTTTTTGAGCCAGCGCACCTGCCGGACGGAGTCGCCTGCTGCTGTGGTGATGTTGCAGCTGAGCGTGAGCGGAAGACCTGCCTCTGCAGTCAGACTGGCAGGAGCTACAACCTGACCTGAACACAACAAACAGGACAGCTACATTCAGTCAGCGAAGACTTTCTCGGTTAAACATCTCGATATTTAGAGGTCATACATAAAGTCTTAAGAAGTAGAGCAAGAAGAAGAGATCCGTTGAGTCAGTATACCACTTATGAGGTGCGATCACAAAGTTCAGAGACGGCGCCTTCACAAATCAAAACCTGATTCCGATTTATATCATCCCAGTGGAAGTAGCGTCCTTGTGCAGCGATGCAACGTTCAAAGTGCTTTTGCAATGCTGGTAACTGTCCCTGGATGTCAAGTTATCTAAATCTAGAATCTCCTAAACTGTGTCCAAATGACGACTCCTTCAACTTCATTTGAGAGAAGAGGAAGAAATCACAGGAAGCCAAAGGATTGTGTTGGTGTGGCCAAAAAAATACAGCGTGAAATCAAGGTGTAATCTTGCAGTGCACCCACATGGCATCACGCTACAGTTCAGGCTGTTTGCTGAATGTTCTCCCTCAGGTCATCAGAGCAGAACTCTGCCTTGACAGTTCGACCCTGAGGGACGAATTCCTGGTGGAGGGTGAAAACAACAAGTCGCGACTTGATGCACCTCGTCCAGGTTCTGAAGCAGTTTGGCTCTCCGATTGCAAAAACTGCTGTTTGTTCTGTTGACGGTAGCTGCAGACCAACCTCCCGTCACCAGTGATGATCCTCGACGGTAGACCCCAAAACATGGGACAAGTTCTAAAGCTGGTGGCACCATGACGCTCGGTCCACTGACTCGTGACTGTTACTGCTTGCACATGTTGCACACATGTGGCATGCACTGGATACAGTCTTGGAACTTTCTGATCGCACTACGTAAAGGATTGGAATGAAAAACTCTGGCTCTTCACTGTATTAGCCGCATTTTACTACAATACACTCAGTTAAGATGAGAAGATAAGAAGAAAAAACACTTCTGATACACATTTGTGCTGTAATCTTTCCTGCTTTTACAAAAATTTTATCTCAACCTGATAAATTTAGGAAAGTTTATAGAAAACATTGCACTAAGTCAGGGATTGCAAACCCCATAGGTTAGCTGTCAGATAAATGTAGTCGACTATAAAGAACAAGAAGCTGCAGGTTTTGTCAGAGCTCATAAGTTAATGTGTGTCTACTTTCCAACTTTCAGTACCAAAGAAACTTAACCTTTGGCCTTAAACTCCACAGTTTTTAATACTCGGTTGCCAGATACCTGCTTATATCTGCAATCACAGACTAGCAACCAAAGAAGCACCATCTGGGTACCTTGTGTCGCAGAGATGGTTGTTCCCACGATCCAGAGCAGCACACACAGGGGGAGGGCAGGTCCACACATCGCACACCGAAGCAGGGTTACCGACTGACCCAGTATCACATCCAGGCTGCAGCTGCAGACACAAACAGCATCAAACAGCTTCAGCCACAACCTACATCCGACCGGTAAACCTCAACACGAACCAGGCGGCTTCTCCTCGCACGTACCCCGTCAGCTGTCCAGTGTTCTGACTTGTTGAGTCGCTGCCCGTCAGCACAGTCGTAGCTGCATCTTACTGGCTCGCCGTCTGCTGTGGGTGAAGCCAGAGGATGACATTAGCAGTGACAGCATCGCCTCAGCACCAAATGACGGCTCCCTTTAAAAGTCGTTGCCGAGGCAATGTGTGAGCATCGACAACAGCAGATCGGAGAAACATCACCTGGAGCTTTTACATGTTAATCCCCAGCACGCTCCTGGAAGTCCATAATTACCGGACAGCCAAAAAACAAGCTTCCACTTTAATGTCTAGACAGCATCCAACCCCGAGGTTTCAAAATCCAAACCCAGCCTCAAAGAAATTGCAGCGGTGATGATGCAAGACGAGTGTGAAGACGTTAGTCATTCATGTGATCACAACGTGAGTAAAGTAGAGGGTGCGTTAGGAGAAAGATGCCAAAGTCAATCTGCTTCACAGGTCAGATCCGCTCTCTGCATCCTGGAGGGTGGAAGCAGCAGGGGTCAGGCATTAACCGGCCTTTGATCAGACTCTCTTAGTGGACTTAGTGGGAAAGAAAAACCCGCCTAAACCACAAGACAGACCAGGTCCAGACCTCAGAGCTTTATGGGCGTTATTTGCCTCTTTTACAGTGCCAAGCATCTGGTTCCAAACACAGAATCTGCTCCTGTTGGGCAACAGTTAAACCACTTTTCCCACTACAAAAAAGTCACCTAACGTCTGACTGGGCTGTGACGGCCAGATGTGATCCGACAGATCAATCAACTGGAGCAGGTTGTGGCTCATGAAAGCTGAGCTGCATTTCAGAGGAATTTCTTCTGACATTTTGCAAATCTAAATACCATTACTGGAAGACGTAGTAACCGGAGAGGGAGTGAAGCCAGGCTGCTAAAAACCTACAAGTTGCTGCCCTACGTCCAGATGTGTGGCGAGCGTTTTTAAACACAGCTGGTTCAGCCTCAGGGGACAGATGTTGGGTGATGTGTGATTTATTTAACAGAAAAGAAAAAAAAAATCATGAACCTGCTAATTAGTTCCACATTTAAAACAGGCGAAAAGTAAGATTTCTATCACACAACTAAACCAATTAAACCTTTCCTTTAAATATCTGAAAATCAATAATATACTAAAAACATAAAAGGTGAAGAAGCAGAACCAGCACTTTAGTTATTTTTTTTTATTTGCCAAAGATGAAGCTCACATAAATTAAACTAAGTCAATAAGAAGGAGCACAACAACTTCTATTTGTAGCTACAGATTGATTTTTCCACCCTGGATAGTTTAAAACACTGACTGTATTTGGGTTTACATCACTGGATAAATGTACAAAGAAGTAGCTGGAAAACTGTCAAATCTACTCCAAGTATTCCAACATACGTTTGCTTTGGACTCCAACAGGATAAAGAGACATCAGACTCACCCGCTGACAGATGTAAGTCCACAAAGCTGACTCCCAGGATCCGAGATGCTTCCCGCACGCCAGGTAATGAGCAACTGGAGCAGCATAGTCCACGCTTCATACATTAAAACTGCGAGCTGAGGAGTTCCCGCTGCCCTGATCTTTGCGCCACCGCCTCGGTTCTTCTGCAGGGAAACAGAGACCTCCAGCAGCCAAAGGGCGCAACTGCTGCTGAAAATCTGCAGCTTGAGATTCAGGTTTTGTTTTGAGTAAATCACAAAAGGAAAAGTCTGATAGCTCAGACTGAAACCAGGAAAGTGGATCATATCACTAGATAATAGTTTTTTCATCGAATTCAAGATCTGTCTGTCTGCTAAGTAATTGATTTTATAATGTTGCTGTTGGTTTATAAAGCACTGAATTAGTTGGAAAGGTCAGAAAACTTTAATTTCTTTTAAAATCAAGGCTGACAACTTTTCTGATTCTCTCATGGAACCAAATCTTTTTTGTCTTGTTTATTCTCTATTTAACTCTTAATTGTGCTGAAATGTCATTTTTATATTGTTCCTTTTACACTTGTTCTTCATCCTTCTTGTATTTTATGTGAAGCCCTTTGAATTGTTGTTCCAAATGTGCTAAATCTTGCTATACCTTAAACAGAAACAAGTAAAATATCATAATTACGTCCCTGCTTACAAGACACAAACAGAAACGTAACACTGACCATCAAGGAGGGAAGAACTGACAGGCAGGATGGATGGTAGTGAAAAAAAACAGCATTTATTTACAAGTTTTTTGAATCAATGAATGAACAACAAAATGAAGGTTGAAGAAAAGGGGAAAAACAAAAGGCCTGGCTATCTTATCTACTAATGATGGAAAAACAAAACTTACAGTCGTGGCACCAACCCATAACCAGGAACAAAAGTAAACTAAGTGTACACGGTGTCCAGTCTTACCTCACCTTCCCACCACAAACCTTCCAAGCTGACAACAGCATTCAAATGGCAGCAAAGCAAAAGGGAGACCAAAGGCGCTAGAGGGCTTTAGAAGGGGTTTCCTGTGTCCTGATTGGTTAACTGGTCAGAGTGTGAGTCAATCATCTGCTCTTCAGGAGCTCACAGGTGGCAGCTAATCTTCTAATTCCCACCTGCAGGATACAACTCTGCACGTAACAACCATTTCCAAAACTTTACTGATATAGTTTTTTTATTCCAAGCGTGGCATATGTACTATTTAGACTTGTAGAGATCTAGATGAAGAAAATTAAATACATATAGATAATCACCTACAGCTGTAAACAGGTGATAAACAATTATATGCAAAATCTCATTTAAGAAAGCTCAACCAACAAAAAGGCTGGTTGCAAAGGCCTCATCTGTGCCGAAGTTAATTGGTTTAAAACACAAGTGTTAAACACATATATGATGGAATAATAGTGAGAAAAAAATACATTAACATCTGCTGTTGCTTGATTTTCTTGTTCTTCTCCACAGCTGGTGGACCTGAACGGACAAATAAAAGTGACTGACGTTGGGCTGTAACTGATCAACACAAACAGACCACGACCTCTGTGGGTGTCAATATAAAGACAACGATGTAAAAACTAAGTCCCAGTATTAAATATAAATTTTAAAAATGTACACAAGACTCTGGGGTTTGCCCTTTAGTCACTGCACAGTGAAAATGGACTTTGCTCGGTTAACTGTTGTTGTTATCTGCAGACAGTGTAGCAGCAGCAATATTAGTTTCTGTCAGCAAAACATTTCATGGAAGAGCAACTGAATCCTACACTTTAATTCAAGTCAAGATATCATAATCATCCATCCATCCATTATCTATACACCACTTAATCTTCACTAGGGTCTTGGGGGGCTGGAACCTATCCGGGGGGACACACTGGACAGGTCACCAGTCTATCACAGGGCTACACTTAGAGACAGACAACCAAGCACACTCACATTCACACCTACGGACAATTTAGAATCACCAATTAACCTCAACATGTTTTTGGACTGTGTGGGAGGAAGCTGGAGAACCCGGAGAGAACCCACGCTGCACGGGGAGAACATGGAGACTCCACGCAGAAAGATCCCGGGTGTCCTCACCAGGACGCGACCTTCTAGCTGTGAGGCAACAGTGCTAACGACTGCGCCACCTTGCAACCTGCTTTTTATCTCAAAGAAGTTACAAAAAAAAAATCAACGTGCCAAACTCAACTCTCTGCAGGACTCACACAGAACTAGTCGGACATTATTTCGAGCTACTTGCAGCAGTTTGGCCGCCTCTAAATCACAAATAACTTTAATAAACTAATATTGGCAGCAGTCGGCGCTGTTACCTCCGAACAGGTGAGTGAGGGCTTTGACAGGCACACGCACTTACGCCATCACGCAAGCTGTCCAAGGCGGAAGCAGAGGAACGTTTTGGTCAAATTCACAGCTGCAGCATCGTCAGAAGATTTGAACATGAATATAAATAGTGTTTTTATTTATAAGTACATAAGTAAGTACATATTAGATTCTGTGTCCTCTAATTTATTAATTTTTTTCTCCTAATAATCACTTTATATGAAAACATTGCACAGATATATGCATTTTATTTTTGTAAACAGATTGGTGCAAGAAATAAAAATCATGAATCAGTGACATTAGTGTTACATGTAAAGTAACAAGAAGTTACACAAAGGTACAAAAAACAAAATCAGTGAAAAAACAACAACATTTATAAAACACATAAACACACAACAGATTGTAGGAAAATGGTTTTAAAAAATCTTCTTGTATAAAAATGCAAATATAAAACAAACTGTGCTTATGGATCAGTTCAGCTGAAGGTCTCTAATCCTCGTCCAACAACTGGGAAAGACTTGTTCTCTGTTTTGTTGAAAAATGCATTTACAATTGCCCACGTATTTGACTGTGACGCAAATTTGTTCAACAAGTTTCAGAGTCTTCAAACAGTCTTTTTGCTGTTGAAGGTGAATGTTTCTGGTGTTTGATTGGTGGACTTTTCTTGGTTGATGTTGATGTCCGCTGCCTGAGCTGCTCATTCTCTTGTCTGATTAAAGGTGTTGTGATCCTTCAAATAAAGACAAGAAATGAGTTAATTCGACTAAAGCAGTCTGTGGCAAAACACGATGACTGTGGAGTGCACAGTAATGACTTCATGAATAAATCCCATCAGCTATGGAGGAGACAGATTAAAGTTCTGAGATGTACATTTATTAAAACTGCAGCTTAGTCTGATTATTAGTCTGATGAGATGATATGTAGGGAAATTAAAACTCAAATAGAAACACAAAAAAGACTGAACACTGGTGAAATGTTCTCACCCCTGAATGTCTTGTCCTGATTTCTGTGGTGTCTTGATCTTCTCAGGGTCCCTGAATGACAGAAGAATTGAAGAAAAGTCAACACAAAATTTGTTAGTCTTGGATTTATGGGTTTGTGTTGATGTGTGCAAATTATCACCATATTAACTGCAAGAGGGCAAGAGGGCACATACTAAGCTGAAACTGACCGATTCAGGCTCCTTCGTTTGATCACAGCACTGATGATCACAACAACAGCTCCACAAGCTACCATCATTACAACTAACACAATGATCCAGGTGGGATCTGGAAGAAAAAGAAGAAAAGTGTGACACAAAGTTCGTAAAGCTGGAATCACAAATCAAACTGGAAAACAGACTAACCGGATTCACTCTTATCGGATTCCAGTTTCTCGTAAGAATCTAGAAAAAGGAACCAAACATGAGGATCAAAACATAATCATGAGTCTATAGATGTGAGATTTTAAAGTGTTTCTCACCTTCAGTCAGTTTGACCTCAGGAATCATCAGAACCGTCTCCATCTGAGGACCAGACAGCAGTCGGGCTGCACAGCTAACCTGTGTGCCGTTGCCATGGAAACCTGACAGCACAGCCGTCGTGGTGACGGTGACTGTACCGTTGTTGTTGTTGACACTGACGGTGTTGTGGTGTGAGAAGTGGAGGTGTTGCTGTGTAACGTTCAGTGTTACAGTGGGAGCAGGTCGACCTGTGGCTGAACACGACACAAGTGACTCTGCAGAAGAGTCTGATTCTCCGACACGGAGGACGGGTTCATGCAGCTCTGCAGAGAAAACACATTTCATGGAGATGTTGTGACAAACACACCAGATTCTGATGCTCTTTGTCATATATGTGAATTGGTGTCGCACATGTGAACACAGAGAACAGATGATTGAGTAAAGGAACAGCAGAAGTAAACATCTTAATATCAAAACAGGTGTTAAAACAAAAAAACCCACAAAATTAAAAAATCTAATTTTACCATATGAGACCTTTAACGTTCTAAACCTCTTGCAGCTCTGAATCAAGCAACACAGGACTGATGGAGTTTGACACTCTGGATTCAAACTGCTCATTATTTTGTTTTTCTCTCACCATCTTTCAGTTTTTTTCTTTGATTTAGCGATTTTATTTTAGCTTTTGTTCAAGTCCACTCAATCAATCTGCTCTGTTTCAAGAGTCAAAACCATCATACGATCAAATCTTCCATTCTGACACATGTACATAAACAATATGATGCTACTGTCATTAAACTAAAGAGTGTGCAGATTTTTCATGACATCTCCTGTTTAGTCCAGCACCTGGTAGTTTTCTTCCTGTTATTCCAAACCCTGCGTTCTTACCGTAGACCTGGAGGCAGGTCGTGGCTGTCAGAGCTCCTTCAGGGTAGGTGTTAAACAAGCAGCGATAGCAGCCTTCGTCCTGCTCCGTCATGTTCCGGACAACTATGGAGCAGTTCTGCAGTCCAGTGTATCTAAACTCCATCTTATCCGCAAATTCTGGATTGACCGTTTGGCCAGAGTACTTGTTGTAGGTGCCGAGATTCTTCTCTCCATCGCGTAGCACCTTCTGCCAGGTGACTTGAAGGACTTCTTTAGATTGCAGGAGCTGACAGTTTAACTGAGCCTCTCCTCCAGCTGCTGCCACCACAGTCGGCTGTGTTTCTATCACTGCTGTTCGACCTGCATGGAGGAAAACACACGGAAACCCTTAAATCTTCTGCTTTTCTTCCAACAATTGCACCATTTAAATTCTTGTCAGAGCAAAATAAATAAAAAAGTGAGATACAGTGTTCGGAAGTTTTCGGTTTGATTCGCTTTTGCAGCATGAAATCAAATAAAGAAAACGTAAAGAAATGTTTTTAGGATTTCTTTTTAACGGTGTGATGATTTTGCAAAACAGAATATTATAGACTCTACTCGACAAAACGCTCCTGCAGTGTTACACGATAACAACGCAATGACGTTCGGAAAATGTTTTGAACATTTCTAGAATGTCTTTGGACAACTCCCTCTGTAAGAACATTTTGGGAACAAACTTCTACTTCAAACTTTGTAAAACTTTCTTAGAACGTTCCCTGTATACGTTTTTTATGTCTAATATTCTTGTTTATATTTGAAAACCTAATTACCAAGATTTAGGAATGGGTTTTATACAGAAGATAAAGTCATCCTATGAGCAATAGTCTTTGAAGTAAAACCCTCATGAATGAAATCAGGTCATTATGGTGCATTAATTATATTTCAGTCACATTGTAGGAGCTGAAATCACTTTTTGGAAGGTGGGAAACTGCATCATGTGACTTTAACTGGTCCTTCAAAGCTTCTTCAACCATTCAAATCAACTGGATTGGTGCAAATCCAGCTCCTCGTGGCCTCGAGCGAACAATTCAAACTGCTCTGTTGTTGAGACGGTTTTAAACACACGATGTGAAGGAATCAGGTCCTGCTACAAAGTTCTCTGAGCGTTACCTGACAGTAATGCTGCAGTTCATGTAAATGCAGCACTTTAATGGACGTTAATGCCTTTGTTTTATTTATTTATTTTTTAATCTAAGAGAACATTTGTGTTGCACAGTCAGAGTGTGACGCTGGAACGTGAATACAAACACAGCACAGTTTACT